ATTATTATTATTTATAATGATAAATTTGGTGTTTTGAACAATTTTTTACTTTAGCCTTTCAAAGCTGGTTATAAGTACTCCATAGCATATTGCAACATCCTGCAAACACCATGGCAAACCAGACTTCTCTGTATATGCCCCAAGTTGGGTAGGAGAAGAAGGGTCAGCTGAAATGCCTCCCCAGTGGTGGGCAATATATTATGATCTATATCACGGAAAAAAATAGTTGGGTCTAACTAGTTTTCTGCCTTATTAGGAATCTTTGTTCCATGAAGCAGGCACACTGATTCAGTACATCTGAGTAAATGGACTGTATAAATAGTGCATTTATTTAACACAGAACTTAGCTGCTCACTAGAAACATCCCAACCCAAACTGACTTGACATTTTTTGGGTTGTAGAAAAGTTTGCATGCTCTGGGTGAAGTTCCATTTGGCAGAACTACTGTCATACGACAATGCTCAATTTGCCATATTCTTTGAAATTCTGCACTGTATCGTACAATAAAAAAGCACTTCAAACATATCCTGGCTTTCCTGTATTTTACATTTGACATACTTATTTTTGCTTATATATTTTTATTTGTAGCTAATTTCTGACCTTGAAACGGCTCAAAAGGTCATAACGGGTAAACAGCTCATACATCATAAATTTCAGACTGTGCTCTCCACTTGCTTCATTTAGGGCAAATACGTCAAAAGACCATTTATCAACATCCTGTAGATGAGGGGAAAAGAAAAAAAAAACACATTAAATTTCCATCTGTCTACGTAGGTTTTCAGTTAATCACTAAAAAAGATATTCCAGGGGTTTTTTTGAGGAAAGGGAGAGTTTGGTGGTTTTCGATTGTTCAACTCTCTCAAACTCCTACTGTAGATAACATATTAACAACTTTTTCAATATTAATATGAAAATAGTTGTGCCAGTTATGAATAAAATCATAGAATGTCTTAGGTTGGAAGGGACCTTAGAGATCATCTAATCCAACCTCCCTGCCATGGGCAGAGGGGCCCTTAACTAGACCAAGTTGCTCAAGGCCTCATCCAGCCTGGCCTTGAATATCTCCAGGGAGGGAGCATCCACAAGCTCTCTGAGCAATCTCTTCCAGAGTCTTGCCATCCTTGTACTGAAGAAAATACTTGTAACATGACATATACAACTTCGACTTTCAGGGGAAAAGGTGAGGTACTACACCTCAAGAAATACCATTTTTTTTAATTGCATACATAACCATAAAAACCTTAGTAGTATAAAAAATTGCTTTTGGTGTGAACTACAGTAATGCCTTAAATTCACAGCAAATACTGTACTTGTTCCATAAGCTGCAGCTTCTTCTGTTAGCTCTACCCCTATAATACTTCTCCTTTTTCTTTCCTAAAAAGGAAACAAATGCTGCTGAGACACTGATTACCATACCACTGGGAGCTGATAAAACCATGTCTCACATTTCTATAAAAATTTCTATACAAATTTCACCCTATTGCTCTAATAACGTCTAAATGAAATCGCAACTAATTAGTGAAACAATAAAAATAATGTTACTTATGAATTTTTAACTCTTAATTTCTCTGTTCTGTGTGCTTAGTTCTGCAATACTATGGCTAGCGTATGTTCAGTAGAAAAATATATTTGTTTCACCCTAAAAGTCACTAAACATTAGTACAAATACATTTAAATTCCACAATGATTAAACTTATTTCACCTTAAATGTTACTATCACTTCTGCTGGGTAAGCCAAACCAACCATGCTAGAAGTTCTTCGGTACATCCTAAAAGAACAAATAAAATATTAAGGAATATCACTCCTTTAAAAAGTACTAGAACAATTTCTCTTTTTTTAAATTATTTTTTCACAGTTTGTGAAATAGCACTAAGCTATTTAAGAGCCTGATCCCCAAGACGACATAAATCTTTTTATGAACTTATGAGAAAAGCCCTTCTTTTATGCTACTGCAGTATGTTTTAGTGTGGAAGTTTCAAAGCTATGAAGTTCATTCCCAGAATTTTCCAAAGTCCAGGAAACTTTAGTACAAATGTAGAGGTTTCATTTGGATTCTTACAGAGAAAAACTGAGCAATTGTAGAAATTGAAACCTAAATTCTGGCTCAAATATTTGCTTCAGGTCCATCCCACAACTTTAGGGATCTTCAGCAACAGACACTTTGGTTAAATGTAGCATTTGCTGTTATAAGAAAACAAAGCTCTCACCTTTCTACAAAAATCCCAGCCTGTACAGCATGCACAATGCTTCGGAATTTGGGCTTTTCTTCAGGTCTCCTCTTCACTATTCCCATTTCCCTCGTGAACGTAGAAGCTAACCAGTCCCGCACTTCCAGCGGGACCGAGTCCGACTGGATGTCAGAGAGTTCATCCTCAGTGTCCAAAAGCTTCCTACAAAAAAATTAATACAAGAGAAGATAGCAGACTGAAGCAAAAGGAGTATGGACAGGTGAACAGCTAACAAAACTTGATTTAATAAGAGCAGAAGTTGTCTGTAGCTTGACTCAGCACATCACTAGATGTCTTCTTTGGCAGACACATTGAGGCCACTGAGGAGCTGGACACAGCAGATACTTATCTTGCCTCTCGCCTGCTGCCCACATTCCAGAAGGTAAAAGACACTTAAACATAAGATATTCAAGTAAAGGCAACAGAAGATTTTTCTACAAAGATGTCACAGGCATGGTGTATTGAAGTGTAACCAATGAGTTACAGAATCATGAGGAGATATCTAAAACAGTGGCTGACATGATCGTCTATTGAAAGAAACTGAGAACGCCAACAGTCCATTTGATCCATCCTCCAAAATGCTAGAAAAAATGGTTTTTTACATGAAAAGTAAATGATATTACATAGCAATGCTATGGTGCACGCATTTCAATGAATACACTGTATACATGCTCAGCCTGCTATTCCAGTGCAACAGAAGTATGAAAGAGACCCAATTCCTTCCATATGGAGAGCTCTATTCCTATTGAAGGCAGGGTAACAAAATCAGCAGTAAAGATATTACATAAGATTGGATTGCAAATCAGCTTTCACAGTTCTTATTTGCTCAAAAAGAAAAGTTATGTGTATTTCTTGCAAAATAGAAAAAGTATTAAAAAAGAATCTTCAACGAAATTGAATTGGAGGACATCAGTTCATTTAGAAGAAACATGTAACTACATATTCTCTTAAAACAGACTTAACACTTCAATTCTACACTTCTATAAACCTACCAGAAGTATGAACACAACCCTTTTCTTGCTGTTATTTGCTCATATCACTCAGTCTGCTGGGGTTTTCCAAGAACCAAATCCCTTATTTAGCCAGATAACAAGTTTTCCTTCATGCAATTATGCAAGAAACTCGAGTTATGATGCTACCCTTTTAAAATGTTTTAACAAAAGTGGTACCAATTGAATTGCAGGCATTATTTGATTACATAAATCTATTTCTCTAGTGCTCTTTCTGAAATTGCTCAAGTGTGCATGAATTGGACATAAAGCAATGACGGACAAGGTACTTTTCAGTGTGAACAGGATTCCTGGAAAATCTATTTGGTGGGAATTTAGCTAACAGCATTTGCAGATATGTATTTGAGAGAGGGAAATTATCACTTCTCCATTTTCATGTTGTCACCTCTGTCAGTCTTTTCTTTCTACTCTCAGCACAACGCTGTTGACTCTTAGCATTCTCTCCTCATATTTATCCAGTGTCTCGTTCACAACTTCCACTTTTTCTGTTTCCCTTCTTCAATGTTTTCAAAATCTTTCCTATCTCTGGTCTTCTCTGGCATACAAAGGAATTGAGCTGCAACACGGATGATGAAGACAACTCTGAATACAGCATAGCTCAAAAGAATCCCCATGTAAATCCAGTACTGTCTGAGGGAATATGTGAAGATGCCAGAAGTGTCATATAAATTACTGGTGAGCAGTGAGCATAGTATATTTGTGCTCATCTGCCCGATTCTCAGTTTCAGCAGCTCATCTGGCTGACAGCATATTTTGTGGGACTTTTCAACTGGAGTTTAAAAAATAATCTGTAAAATGCCACCAACATCACCATTTCCTGAAAGAACAGCAGAGGCATTCCTATTTTTTAGGGACACAGTATTATCAGACTAGGAAGGCTCTGCAACACAGTGTGCAAGAGGAGCAGAAGGGACAAGAATTATGAGATTTTCTGACTGTGGAACACAAGACGAAAGTCAGTAATTTATTTTGGAGGAGTAGGACTTGTGTAGGGGAAAGGATTTGGGCAAATTATCTTCCAAAACTCAACCAAGGCTGAGACTGGTCATAGATCGAAGGCTACAAACTGATTTTACTCTCTAAATTAAAAATTATATTATAGTACACTTAAATCCCTACTAGTCTAACATCGTTATTAAATGTCCCTGGAGAGATCAGTACATTTATATTTCTGAGGAATATTTGGCATTTGATGTATTCATAGCATAATCAGGAATAAACCTTATAATCCCTAAAACCTATTTTGTAACTATTCCAACTGTTATTTGAATCTGATGAAATTATTCCAATGATAAAAAAGGACCATGGGCATCAGGGCTGCTTCAGAGCAGGCAGCAGGGACACTCCCCATCACCTGTGCAGCACGAAGCAGAACTCTACAGCAGTTCGCTACAGCCTGATGCAGATCTGAATTTGGGACCAAGTCCTGAGCTCTGCAGATATGAGCTGCTGGAGTATAAATTCGGGCTAGCAAGGCACATTACAGTTTCTCTAATCTTTTTAACCATTCCCCTGCAAAACAGGACTACTCCGTATGTAAATGATGGTAAAAAGAATTACTTTCTGAAGACAGAACAGAGAAACAAGTGTTTCTTTAACCCAGGAATTTTCATGAGACCACTGCTATCTGATGAGAGGTGACTGAACAACATGCTCTCATGGAGACTGTTCTAGTTTCTCTGGGCCCTACATAAATAACTAGGAAAGCAACTGCAACACAGAATTATGTCATAAGTGCAATCCCTTGTGTACAAGCTCTTACAGATCCCTCAACACACAATAACTCCTCAAGAAGCAATAGTTACTTCCAGAAGCTTAAGTGAAACAACATTCAAGGAGAGGAAACAAGGGTTCAGCTCATAGCTATCTATTCTTTACACTATCCTGACCTTTTGAAGAATAAAATTTATATTGGGGAAAATTAGTCATGGTATATGCATTGATAGAAACGGCCTTAGAAAAATGCACTAATGACTGCCATTCTTCTTTAATTACAGAGACAGGGCTCATATATGGGTCTATACAGTTGAATAAATAGATGGTTGGATGGATGTATAATTTAACAGCATTTTTATTTAGGAAGGTAAATAAATTAGGCTACAGATTGCACAATACAAACTACGCTCAATTATCATTCTTAGAATCCGATTTTGACTCATTTCATTGTTTGTAACTTTTTGCTGACTTTTATTCATCCACTACACTTTGATTAAAAAATATAGTATTTCCATTATACTTCCATGGCTGTGCATATATAGGCACACATACACGATATTGTCAATTCCGTGAAATAAAACTAATTATTCACCTTTTATTCACTGATAGCAAAAACACAACTATAAAATAACTCAAAGCAGATTTATATGTTGAGACACAAGAACAACAAATTAGTAATTTTACATAGTATTTACAAAACATATATACATATATATAAATATTACTAGGTGTATCAAAAAGAATCTTCTGCAGAAGTATCAGAACTTGTGCACGATAACCAGAAGTACATTTGCCATACAACAATAGCTGAATTTTTCCCTTTCATCTGACAAGAACCAGTTTTTGATTGGCAACCACTATATTTTTTTACATGGATTTGTTCTTTTTATGTTGAACCACTTCACAGCTACATCCCTCATCTATTGATGTACATCACTGCATCAAGTAAATCACAGAGCCCTTGTGTGCCGGTCTTTCTTGCTGTTCCTAATTGTGTTGCTCATAACTTAACCACAACTGGAGCAGAGGGATTACAACATCAGTCTGATGCAATCACTGCACTAGAATGCAACCATTTCTTTGAAAAAATTACACAATACAACATTTTTTATAATTACTGGGAAAAAACATATGTCTGAAGTGTATATTCAGAGTATTCTTTTCCTAAGTGTTTATAATACTGCTATTTTAATTTGTATCTATTTAAAACTGGTAATTTTTAAAAGCTTCAGTAAAATTAGTGAATCAATAGTGTTTGGGTTTTTTGCGTAATGAAAGTTATATTGCTCAGAAAAACGGAAAACACATTCATAAATTCTGCATTCTGTGATTCTACTCTTATTTAGACCTCTAACTTGCCACTTCATAAATTACAAGTGAATAGGTAAATTATTATTATAGATGACTATTCAAGATACCTTTAAATAAAATTTAAAAAAAAAAAGAAGAAATAAGGGGAAAAGCAAAATAGCATCAGAAGACAAGGTCAAAACAAGCACAGTTAAACCACTTAACATCCTATCAAATATTACAAGGATTTTTGCAAGATTTTACAATATAATTTGTAAAATTATATTGTAAAATTATGTTAAAAATTATTGTTAAAATTATTGTTGTTAAAAAATGCCATTGGATAAATTAATGTGGTAAAATAACTAGTGACCATAGCTGTCAAACACAAGGCTAGAAACACTGGCTTAGAAAATGCTTGGAGTGGAGCAACTGTAAGATCCACAGCCTCATCCTCAAAACAGCCACACTGAAGATCATCGACGATGGGCATTTATTTTCTATTTTAAAAATACATAGTTGCTCCACAAAGTAAGTCTTAAACTAAAACTCCACTGAGATCAATCCCATCTAACGTAGAGGCATGAACTCCAGTATCATAGTTGAATTAGATAGATGTTAATATACCAAGGCAAACACTTTAATATTTTCTTCCCTAAAGCTAAGTAACACCCAAAACCGCTAATAAACAAAACATAAAAGCTCTAACACAGTGTGCCACAGAAAGAATTTTCTTTCAACAGAAAGTCAGAATTTCAGGGTTGCATACAGTTACTTTGCTCATATGTCATTAGTCTATTATGTAGATGCAATACAAGGAAGAGATACACGTGGGAAGGAGAGGGGGAGGCTTGGGTTATTTAATTCTGCTCATTCCATGAGTGGAACTCCCATTGACAGTTGTGGGAATAAGTAAGATGTGGCCCATGGCACTTCAGCTTAGCAATCAATTACTATTGCAGTCATAGTAACTAATAACCTGATCATCTTGTCACAGTACTGCGTCTTTTGCCAAGAATAATTTTTCAAAATTCAAGTAGTGATAATCTCTAGCTCTCTTTTAATTTAATCAGAATTTTAAATATAGTAATGGAGTAGTCAGAAGTATATTTCTTTTCCCTTAGGAATGTATGAGATGTACTATTG